AACAAAAAAATGTTTTTAATTTGCATTTTATTCTTCTAGTAATTCTTGCTGACTTATTTCTCTGTTTTACATATTCTTTATAAATTCTTCTAGATTTCCTAAGTTTAAATTTTTGCTAAGCACATGTCTTGCTCCTGACAGCTTTAGCAGTCCCTCTATTAAACCATAGGGGTTTAATTTTTTTCTTTATTATTGCTGTTATACTTTGGTACATTTACATTGACACAATTATGGTATTTATCACTAATAATAGTCCATGCTTCTTCTATATTTTTATCTACAAGCAATGCATCCCAGTCCAAATCTAGCATTAATTTTATATTATCTTCATTACATTTGTAATAATTTAGTTTTTCTTGCTGGGGGGGGGGGGAATAATTATAGCCCAAAACTAAAGTCAGCTACAGTGACTCATCAAACAAAGGGTTAAGCAAGTAATCATTTAGCTCAAAGTGATTAAACAAACTTTTAACAAAATTTGCTCAAACACATACAGATACTGAACTTAACTATATGTAGTTGTATTCTCTATAGGCAACAAAATGGTACAAGGTTTTAGTTAATTGAGTATAAGTTTTATGGATGATGTTAAATTTATCAATCCCCACAACACACATTTTTGAAGATTAATAAGTTTCATATGTCTTAGCTTTTCTTCTGATGTAATATACATTAGAAAGAAACAGTTACATAAGTGTGTTTGTGTGAAGTTACACACATCACATCTTGTACCAATGTTGTCTTTGCACACAATAACATTCTTTAAAAATAACACATGTGCAGGACTACACTTCTAAAGGAAAAATATAGGTGCATGCTAGAGGAGTAGTAGAATTAATTAACAGCTGGAGCTTTTCTTCCTCCACACTAGGTATATTATACAGACCCAGGCAGTGCAGCCTCTCCACATATGACCCTTTAACCTTCAGTTCCCAAGATGAATGCTTTAGGAAGTATGATACCGAGAGATGCCTTACGCTTCTTTAGTCATTGTATTTCTAGCATCTTGTATCATTATTATGTTCCTTCTAATGACATTACAATTGCTGTTCAACTAATTAAGACATATATGATAAAATCTGCCTAAGTTGTTAAATTCTAACTCAACAAGGAAAATAGAGTTTTTAGAACTAAAGCTTCTGTCTCACTAGTCTAGTTAAATTCTAAATTTTTTTCTTCAGTATCAGCTTAATACAAATTACAAGTAAGAATTGTTTAATTAATTAAAAACAACAGTGGAGGTTTTAAACTTGAAAGAAACACAATCAATCATAGTTTTCTTTTATAAAAATATGGGTCTTCGTAAGTTCTTGATTAAAAAGTTGGTGTACTATCTCTTCATCCAGGATCCCTCCCTCCCCACTTCCAATGACTTAAATAATCTATCTTTTGACTTCAACGTAATAGTAATAGCCTTTCTACCAAGGCGGCCCAGGATTTAGTCCCAGCCATTACTAGTACCACCTCAAACACAGCCATTCTCATGTCTTATCCTCAAATGACTGCAGTAGATAAAGAGCCAAAATGTAGTATATAAACAAGTTATTAATCAGTACCAATAATAAAAGAAAAGTATTGGTAACTAAGCAATAATCAGAATTACTCAATTAGGCGATTTGTATAAACTACTATTAGTATTACTAAGATATACAACTCGAAAACCTAAAAATAGACAAAGCTAAACATCACTTTAACAGTTATTACCGCTAGTATTAAAGCTATTGTTAAACTTAATGAAGTTAATCATTTACTTTTAATGTAACTTTGCAACACCTCATAGTCGGTCTAACTTACTCTAAATGTAATTTCTAAAGTCTACGCGTTAAAGTTAAACCACACCTCAGCCCTTAGTAATACTTATAGTTCTACTAGTAAGGATGTAATTTCAAAAGCTGGTTAAATTTATTTTGGAAATAAAACTAACCTTGATTTATTAAACTTATTTAAAATAATTCTGAATTTTCAAAGTTACGAGCTAACTTCTTGAAAATAAATACAAAGCATCATGTGATAATTAGCAATTTTTTTTTACTATATGATAGCGACACCTGTTATAAGGATTCATAATAATAGAACATATGAAATTAATTGTATTTTTTTGTAAATAAATAATCACTACATTGAAATTAAAACCTATCTTTTATATCGAATTAATAAGCCTCCATTATTGCCTTTCTCTGTAACCTTCGAGTACCTTAATATTTTATTCATTCAACTCCTAACTTTCTGGTTAAATACGAATTAAGTATTCAAAAACAAAACCAAATTTAGAATGATAATTCAAAATCAGTTTTTAATGTAAAATTTGTTGGAATAATTTACAATCACGAGTAATACAGAAAATAGAGACAAGACTTTTATCACATTGTTACGCCTCTGTTCGGTTGTTAATTTTCTGTAGAAATTCTTTCCCAGAAACTTCAGAGATACGAGTCCTTTCTTAAATAAAACTAGTTTATTCTTTCTCAATACAACTTTGCAATACACTTAATTTCCACAATCACTTTAACTTAAACACACGCTATAATTCACAATGATTCACGCACTTTACTTACGGTCATTACTGCTCACTTGACTCAATTATCTATCTCTATATCTCTCTTCAATCTGCTATCTGCAATTATATCTCCTCTTTATTTGCCAGGCTTATATAGAAAAATAGAGGGCGTCTGGCAAACACTAGATTTGCCAGTAACAGTCATGAGCCTTCTAGAAACTCATGACGTGTTACCAGGGTCACGTGACTTCCGCTGTCGTAACAACATATTAGTATGACGATTAGCGACAAAAAGAGCCATTTCGTGATTGTATCTTGTCAAATAATGTGTTTAAAAAAGTAACGGAAGCGTGCAAAAAATAACTATTCATTAGTTAACGTGAAAATGAAAAAATTAACTAAAAGTCGTTTACCGTTGTCGAATATTTTTTCAGTTAATTAAGTATCACAATCTTTATAATCAGTATTTAGATGACATTGAGTGAATAACGATTTATGTTTAGTTAAATAACTACACAAGATATATAAATTTATATAGATTTATAAATTTAATGATATTTTAATTTACCTGGTATTTTGAGTCTATACCCTTCAATGTTTATGTTTATCCGTATAACCAATCATACGTGTGGCATAGGTATCGGAAGTATGTAATTACAAAACAAAATTGGTAAATGTTTCATATTGTTATGCAATTTCATTTCAACTTTATGCCTATTACTTATGTATTGAATTTGAAAAATATATTATGCTGTTTTCAGTGTATGTATTTGTTGACAGTTTTGTGTTTTAGAAGTTCAGACAACAATAATGGCAATAGGCGTAGCTAAATGAGTAATTTTTCATGCACTTTTAATATTGTTATGGAGTGAATGACTTTTCTAAGCTGGAAGAGCGTTATTATACAACTAATTATATTTGTCGTTAGACATTAATATTAGAAATGAATAAAAAACCCTATAACCCTATTAAGACTTCTTGTACTAACTTGTTTTTCTAACATTATGAACATTAGTATTAGAATTATTGTATTTTTAACACCACATTCTTTATTCATTCCCTTAGGGTTTACCAAGAAGAAAAATTTATAATAATATTTCAACCACACTATGGATATGGTAGACACTCTTCTTCTTCATCATAAAAATACCTTAAAGATTGAATAAACAATGTAGTGTTAAAATAAGCATAATACTAACGTGTTATAACAAATGCGATTAATTATATAACTTTCAACATTGCTAATCTAATGAAATTATACCAATAGCATTATATTAACACGTAAAAATGATGTTTTCCTTTTATATTGCTTTTTTTAACAAGATGTCGATTACAATTTTAGCAACTGTATTCAAGTGTATCACTTCAGTTTCAGTCTGTGATTCAGCATGAATATAATAACATTCAACATAACTTAGATCATTCGTGTATTCTATGTATGCAACCACAGCTGAAGAGACGCAGCCAAGAATTTTGGGGCCTGAGACAAGTCTTTTGATAAAGGTGCCCTCTAATGGTGTTTTTTAGGATTTTTTTATTTGGGGGACGTAAGGAGACAGGAAGTTAGTTTGAGAGGCAGAAAAATTAACACTTTCATTCGGGGAGATTCACAATTTAATTTTTTTAAATATTATATCTCAGACGGGGGGAGGCAGAGTTCTCCAATGGGCTCTATCTTCACTCCCCCCTCTCAATCTAGTGAGCATAATGCATACATGATAACGGTAAATAAAGTATGTCAAGCACGCACATGCAAACCTGTTTGGAGCAAATCATCTACAAGCCATAACAACAAAACGTTTGAAGTTTAAGGTATTATTTGAATGCAGATAAAAGGGTAAAAAATATTTCCAGGACTTAAAAGGACTAATGTATTGTTAATTTAATTTAATAAAATAAATTAAAACCCTTCCAAGCTCGGTCCCGTTTGCCCTCCCTCCCTGACGGCGCCCTTGCATATCTGTGTCCATATAAAGCTCATTCTTCATCTTCTTCACGTAGTAGAAATTATACTGCATAAAATAAACCTGAAATGTAATATTTACATTAGGTAAGCTGCGAATTTGACAGTCCATTGGAAAATCTTTAGTTAAATGATTCTAGCGAGTTATTCAAGTAAATATTAGGTATTTTAATTGCTTCGAGAATTTCAATAAACTACAAAGTTGTATGATTTAAAAACTATAAATAAGTCATCTGTAAATCCTAAAATAACTTAGTTAAAGAAAGAATAATTTTAAAAACTAAAAAAGCAACTCCTGTAAAACTTTACAATTTCATATTCCAAAATTCACTCTAGAAAAGTATCTTGCCATCCCCCAATTTAGGTGGCAAAACTATTCTTCTCAACAGTTTGAAATTTTTTCAATCGTTCTTAATTAAAACTTTGCCAGTGTACTTGATAAAGGTAAAATAACATAATATAACGTTTAGGGACAACAAGGGGTCTATTGGTCCATCTTGGCTGTCCCATCTTCTAAACTAAACTGAAACTATCAAATAAATAAATAAAAATCTTAAATCCAGCCCTTATCATTCATATAGTTATCAAGCTTTCTCTTAAACTCACTTAAATTTACTACCTCCACAACATCCGATGGTAACCTATTCCAGAGACCAAACACCCAATTAGAAAAATAAAACTGTCTTAGCTACCTTGCTAAAAATTTATACTTGTGTCCTTTAGTCCTACTATCCTCGTTAAGTATGAAAAAAAACTATATATCAACACTATCAATTCCCTCGACAACCTTAAATAGCTCAATCAGATCCCCTCTAACTCTTTTCTTTTCGAGAAAAAACAACTTCAGAGAACTTAATATCTCCTCATATGATAACCTCTTCATCCCAGTAACCATTCTATTAACCTTTCTCTGAACCCTTTCTAACAATTCAATGTTCTTTCTAAGGTAAGAAGGCCAAGACTAAATACAATACTCTAAATGTGGTCTAAACAGTGACCTATATAATGAAATTATAAACTCTTTAGACTTGTATTCAATATTTTTGTAGATACAACCTAAAATCCTATTTGCCCTACCACTAGCAACAGCACATTGTTTGGATGGTTTAAGAGACAGATCAATCATTACACCGAGATTCCGTACTTTCATGACACTGTTAAAGTTATTCCCATCAGTTATAATTTAAATTATGATAACCCACATGCATTATCTTGCATTTATTATAATTAAAACCCATCTTCCATTTATTTTCCCAACTCACTAAATAATCTAAATTATTTTGTAAAGCATCAGCATCCTTTTAATTTAGCAACACTCAAGACCTTAGTATCATCAGTAAATTTAAGTAATTTATTGACAATTTATTCATCTATGTTATTGGTTTAAATCAAAAACACCAAAGGTCTTAAGACTGAACCATGAGGTACCCCACTTATGACATTAATCCAGTCTGATTGAACTCCATTTATAACAATCCTCTGCTTTCTTCCATTCAGCCACTCTTCTATCCATTTACCTAACTTATCCCCCACACCTAAAGAGATAATTATTTACAAGCCTTTTATGTGGCACTTTGTCAAAGGCTTTCTGAAAATCCAGATACACCAAATATACACCTTTACCCTCATCTACATAAGCAATAACCTTTTCAAAGAATGTCAAAAGATTTCTAAGGCAAGATTTTCCCTTAGTGAAATCATGTTAACTATTCAATAAAATTCTAAACTTTGTTAAATGACTTTGTAATGCATCTTTTATCAGACTTTCCAAAACTTTTCCCACAAATGATGTAAGACTAATAGGCCTATAATTACTTGGACAATTTTTATTACGTCCCTTGAAAAGAGGAGTGACATTAGCTTATTCCAATCCTTTGGCACCTGCCCACTATTCAGGACTTACTAAAAATAATAGCAATTGGCACACATATCCAATCCTTAACCTCCTTCAAAACCATTGGGGAACTATTATCTGGCCCAGGAGCCTTATCATTTTTTAAATTTCCAAATTTTTTCTTAACAAGCTCAGAATTAATGCAATCATATCGTCCGACCTTGTTTCCATCTGTCAACTGTTCAAGATGAGAAACACTGCTTAAATCTTAATTAATAAAAACTGAACAAAAGCAGAATTTAATAATCCAGCCATCTCATAATAATTAAATACAAGCCTTTCTTTGTTATCCCTCAAGGGCCCTACACCAATCCTAACATTTTGCTTACCCTTAACGTAGTTAAAGAAATCCTTACTGTTAATTTTTGTATTTTCGGCAAACTTTTTTCATTCATCCTTTTTGATGTCCTAATTTCCTGTTTGACCAACTTTCCTGATCTTCTATAATCTTCTAAATCTTCTGTCATACCAGTCAATCTAAATTTCTTAAATTTGTGATGCTTTTCTTTCTATAATGAACATTATTTATCTCGAATGTTTTTTAAATTTATCCTTAAACATTTTGCACATTTGATAAGTGTCTCCAAATAATTCAGCTGCCCAATTCACAACAGATAATTTTTGTCGCATCCCTTCAAAATTTGC